AGGAAAGGGGAGGGGCTAAAATCTCTCTCTCTCTCTCATTTGTCTGTTTAATAAAAACTATGATAGCATATTACTTAAATATCAGGTTGTGAAAATTTAATCTATAACAAATAATATGAATGTCTTTTTGTATCATCTTGTCCGAGTATAATCACGGCGGGGGAATGTCTACAGATACATGTAGAAGTCTGCTCAATAAATCATCATAAAAAATAAACTGACACATAAATATATTAGTGCATTAAAATTTAAAATACTAGTGTATTTATGCAATACGTCCACATAACTTTGTAAAATATTTTAATTTTTTTTTCTCATTATTTTACACGGCATCGCCTTGACATGGAAATATGTGTATGGTTGTTACAACCGTTGTAATTCATTCTATGGTAAGGAGTCCGTAGTTTTCTCTTCTAAAATTAACATTTTTTGTAATGGTTTTATATATCAAATAAGAATTAACATATTTATTTTTACAACTGGATTATTTTATTTTTTATACTTCAGCATTCAGTAACAATTACAATGTTTTACAGCGATAAAAATCGTGTTTGAAAAAGTTGATTTTAAACATCGTACATATGTGCAGAAAATATTGTAAGAAACTTAAATTAATAATTTTACTTAATGTGCATGTATCGTCTTTCTTAGGACAATTTTCATTGACTTGTTTATTTATTTATTATTTATTCATTTTTTGGCACCAGACATTAGAATACAATAAAATAGTTTCAATGCAAGGAAAAGATCAGAGGCAATCCGAATAAATCGTTCATCTTGCATTCACCGTTCACTTTGTACTCGCGTTTGTGCTCCGTTCGCGTTCTGCGTTTGCTCACCATTCACACATCATTCACCAAGTTGCGTTCAGCGTTCACTCACCGTTCGCTCACCGTTCAAGTGGGAAAGTAGAACGTTTCAGGGACTGTAAGATATTCTGTTTATAATGTACAGCAATTTAACTCAGCCAGCATAGTCGATGACTTTTTAATATATTCTGTTTACAGTGAAAAACAATTATCATCAGTATGACTGTCGGAGGCAGCATAGTTGATGATTTTTTTATGTTCGGTTTACAGTGAAAACAATTTACATCAGTATGACTGTAGGCAGCTTAGTCGATAAATTTTTAGACTCTGTTTACATTGAAATACAGTTAACATTAATTCGACTCTCTGAGGCAGCATAGTTGATGGATTTTTACGATTCTGTTTATTTACAGTGAAAAATAATCTACATTAGTATGATTGACTGAGGCAGCATTGTTGATGATTTTATTTTTTTTGTTCTAGCTGTTTACAGAATGACTGTCTGAGGCAGCAGAGTTGATGGATATTTATTTTATTCTGTTAACAGTGTTAATATGTTTACAGTGAAATACAATCTACATTAGTATGACTGACTGAGGCAGCATATTGATGACTTTTTATATTCTGTTTACAGTGTAAAATGATTTACATTAGTATGACTTTCGAGGCAGCATTGTCGATTTTATTTTTATGTTCTAGGTGTTTACAGAATGACTGTTTGAGGCAGCATAGTTGATGGATATTTATTATATTCTGTTAACAGTGTTAAATAATTTACATTTGTATGACTGTCCGACGCAGCATAGTCAATGTTTTTTTATGTTCTGTTTACAGTATAAAACAATTAACATCAGTATGACTGTCTGAGGCAGCATAGTTGATGACCTTGTATTATATTCTGTTTAAAGTGTCAAACAGTTTCCATCATTACAATGGTCTGGGGTGGTATTGTTGATGTTTTTCAATTATATTGCGTTTACAGAGTAAAACAATTACAGTTGTATGACTGTCTAAGGCAGCATTTTACAAAAGTATGACTGTCACCATAGCTGATGACCTTATATTATATTCTGTTTCACTGTATAGTTTCATCAATATTTGCTGTCACTTTACTATACTCTGTTTACAGTGTAGTACAAATTGCATGAGGATTACTAAGGTGGCATAGTTGATAACCCATTGTTATATTGTTCTGTTTGTTTAAAGTGTAAAATAATTTACATCTGTATGACTGTCTGAGGCAGCAAAGTTGATGACCTTGTATTATATTATGTATTATGTTATGTTTTTAAGACTTAAAATTTATATCTGCACTTAACCCCCCTGTAATTTTATCAACATTGTTACAGTGAAATATGAAGATAAGGAACAGTAATCAATCTCAAAAGGCCATTGAAGCAATACAACATTTTGACTTCTTGATAGATTGTATTTGTTGGCAAGGGCATTACGCCAGCTATGGAGTTTGCGAAATGTTGACCTTGGACAAGACTGTTGATGGTTTTCACCAACTTGTTTTCAATGGCTTGCCTCGTTTTGGAAATAGTTCTTACGTGAAGCTTGTGCCTGTGTATCGATCAAGTCGGCTTCATATGGAGGCGATAATGGTTTATTGCAAAATAGAGCTAAGGGAGGTTGACGAAGGAAGAGTTGAGGTCATCACTTTGTTGTGGAGTTTTGTTGTTGACTTACCATTGACGTCTTTTTCTAGTGGGGGTTCCAAATGTGAAGCAGATGTTTAGGACTCTTGTGTTGTCTTTCGTTTCGAGTTCATGGGGTACATAGGATCAACATAGGAACATGAATACAAAAATATGTCTGCTAATAACGGGGCGCGATTAGTACCCATGGAAATTCTGAAAGATTGTTGGTAGACTTGATCCCCAAGAACTACATTAGATATTTTACAGGAAATGTATAGTTAATTTGTGCACCTGATGGTTTGTACATATGTTACTCTGTTAGTCGCTACTCGTGAGGTTTTGATGTTTCCTATTCGTCTCTTCTGGATGGGGCACTTGTCCATAACTCGTAAGTTATCGACAAGTTTGTGGTGTGTTTGTTCTCCCATCTTTTTTGCCAATTCTTCTGGTCATATTTGTATTTTTTCGTTATGTATATTAATATCCTTATAAGGGATATATTCAAATATGGGCATGTGTAATTTTTGTACATATTTGGTTAATTTGTTTGGCATTCTAATAAATGCCCATTTACAACAAATAATTTGTTGTTATATTTGCAAAAAACAGAGCAGAGTAGACTCATGGATGGAGAAAATAAATTATATTGAGGGAAGTTGAAGACGATGGTATAATTGTATTTATGTGCAACATAAAGTAATTTATACCATCTCTGTTATTCTACTGTTATAAGAGAATTTTTCAGGAATTTTCAGTGCCGCAATTAATTCTTGCTTCTATGGATTTGTAACTTGATCTTGTTTATCTCCAGACCATGCATTCTGATGGAAACAAATTTTTGACCCACCTCCTCTCCTGCAACCACACAATATATACTCAATTGTATTTGATTCAATAACATATATATATTTACATTGAAGTAATGGTATGTTACTTGTTCTCAGATTTGCTATATTAACAATGTTATAATACATCGCACAGTGTACTTATTTTGTCGTGTGTCTCACATGCTTTTAAGATTGGCGTGTTTGGCATGTATAACTTTTGTCCATATTTGGTTAATTTGTTGGGCATTTTAATAAATGCCCATGTGTTTGTGCGTGTTTGTTCTCCCATCTTTTTTGCCAATTCTTCTAGTCATATTTGTATTTTTTCGTTATGTATATTAATATCCTTATAAGGGATATATTCAAATATGAGCATATGTAATTTTTGTACATATTTGGTTAATTTGTTTGGCATTCTAATAAATGCCCATTTACGACAAATAATTTGTTGTTATATTTGCAAAAAGGGAAGTTGAAGACGATGGTATAAATGGCCATAGCATTAGCTCTTTGAGCCTTTGGCTCAGAAGAGCTAAAAATGAACAAAAAAATGAAAAAAAAATTGCTTATTAAAATCTTCTTCTGCTGGACAAAGGAAGTGACAGCAACAAAAATGAGCCTGTCTAGCATATCTACAAGACACAATCTATCATCCTTGAAAGTTTCAATCTTCAACCATTTCTGAGAAATCCTCCGAACAAAATTTCATTTTTAAAACAGGAAATTGGCCCTAATGTGCGACTAGGGGTGAATTTTGGAAAAGAAGAAAAAAAATTATGATTTTAAAATGAAATTTTGTCTGCACAGGATCTTAAGAATGGCTAAAATATGAGCTGGAGACTTATTAAAGAGCACAGAACAGGACTTTTAGATATGCAAAATTGCCTTTCCTGCATCGTCAATACTTCCGGTCGCTACCAAATTAAAAAAGTCAATTTTTTCAAATTTGTTGTTTTTTAATTTTTTTTTTGAGTTTGGTAGGGGTAATAGAGACTTATCAAAATGCTTAAAATATAATTTGTTTTAAAAATTCTAAATAGGAAGTAGTTTAATTTTTTTTTTTTGTTTTTGCTATTAAATAAAAAAATTAGGTGATCCTCTGTCCACCTATTTAAAGGTCACTAGCTTTTTTGGCTGCATCGATTTTGTTTCCTGTTTCATTCTCTTTACAAATCCAAAATGACGTTGCAAGGGAGAGCTTGAGAATGGCTGCAAAAAAATTGAATTGTTTACAATCTTTACTGTTACAATGCAGACTCAACTCCATTCCCCCTAAGCAGTCTAAGTCACTTCGTGTCTGCCTTTTGTTTAAATTATCGTAATCTGCTTCACGTCTTAAATTTCAGCGAAATATAAAATGTTGGTTATATATATACGTTTTTTTTTTTGGTATGAAAACCAATATTATGTTACTTTTTATGAATTATTTTTATAAATATGTAAATAAACCGATTTATTATTTGTCAATTAAATTCTGTATTAAAAACAACTTTCAGACCAATTTCTGACAGTTTGAGTTGCGCAGTGTACTCAAATTTGTCAGAAGCTAAACACCTTAAGGCATTCTTTGTTTTGGAAGGGAATGGTACAGTTTTTAACAAATGGGGAAAAGAGTAGATAATATTTCTAAAATAAATTTCATGTCTTTCATGTCATTCTTTTCTTTAGAAATATATAAACATGCAAGAGATTTTTCTCCACTGCTAGGGCATTGTACACACCTCCATACCCACAGGTGCTTTCTTGCCTCTAGAAAATTTCTCAAGCTCAATCCAGTCTCCACTTTCTCCCAAGGCATTAATTTTTAGCCACCAAAACCTGAAAAGGAAATCATTTTACTGTAAGTTTTCTAACAAATATTTAAAGATACATATCATCCTAATTCTGGAGTATTAACGTTCATCCTGATTGTGTTCCTCACCTTCTATCTGGAACTTTGAATTCTTTTCTGAGCTGTTCTGCTACTTTATGGTTGTTCTCCTTGGTCAGGCAGTAAATTGTTTGATGAAGAGATAGATTTAAAAATGGTCTGTTCATATCCTCCTCCAACCTCTGTTGGTATTTCAGTAACTTTATCTGGTCTTCAATTTGCTAAGAATGATGAAAACTTCATATTAATGATAGTACTGTGCTTTAAAAGTTCTGTATGTATATATATATATATATATATATATATAATATATACACTAGTATTCATATATACTAGTAGTAAAATCTCGTAATCATAAACTTGATGGGACCAAGATTCAACTTTGTGATATCAAAGGATTCGAGATAATGAGGACCACAATGCTCACCTGAGTAACTTTGCAATTCTTCACCAGATTTCCCCCTTGTAATACTTATTGTGGCTCCATTGTGCCCCAAGGGGTCATTATTTGAACAATTCAGAATCTACACTACCTCAGAAAGCTTTCACTTAAGTTTCAGTTTCTCTGTCTCAGTGGTTCTTGAGAAGAAGATTTTTCCTTCAGTGTAAAACTTTGATTCCCTATTGAGGCCCCACCCTACCCCCACCGCATAAGTTTCAGCTTTTCTGTCCCAGTGGTTCTTGAGAAAAAGAGTTTTTTAAAGATTTTTCCCATATATTTCAATGTAAAACTTTGATTCCCTATTGTGGCCCCACCCTTCCCCCCGGAGCATGAATTGAACAATTTAGAATCTACTCTACCCCAGGAAGTTTCCACATATGTTTCAGTTTTTCTGGACCAATGATTCTTGAGAATAAGATTTTTAGAGATTTTTTCCTTTATATTTCAGCATTAAATTTTGATTCCCTATTGTGGCCCCATCCTTCCCCCCTGGGGCAATGATTTGTACAATTTAGAATCTACACTACCCCCAGGAAGCTTCCACTGTGTTTCAGCTTTTCTGGCCTAGTGGTTTTTGAGAAAAGATTTTTTAATGACCCCACACTATTTTTGTCTCTTCTTGATTATCTCCCCTTGTAATGGGGCTTGGCCCTTCATTTTAGCAATTTAAAATCCCCTTAACCCAAGGATGCTTTGTACCAACTTTGGTTAAAAGTGGCATTGTGGTTCTTGAAGCGAAGTTGAAAATGTGAAAAGTTTACAGACAGATGGACAGACAGATGAATGGACAGACAATGGACAACTGGTGACCAGAAAAACTTATTTGAGCTCTCAGCTCATGTGAGCTAAAAATATACAGAGAGAATTTATGTATAATAGTGCAGTCTACTTGTGTGCCATGTTATGTTGAAATCAGACCAAAACTGTAGGAGGAGAAGTATTTTGAAAAATTATTTACAGACGGACGGAAGGACAGACAGACAGACAGATGGATGGCAGAACTCAAAATAATTGATGGCCAGCTGGTCTGGGGCCTGTAAATTTTGGATTTGGGGTTGTGCTTTGTAGAAAGCACATGTCCTTGGGACCGGTGATTATTTTATGCATATCAAAATTAATTCACAGTTGGGCAAGTTAACTAGATAGTTTTGTGCGTCCAGGTTCTAGTGCGATGCAAACAATTCCTTATTTTGTTAGTTTGTACTATGAAATAACGCAGTGTAAAATTAATTCAATATCACAAAGATTTCTAAGAACAATTTTTTAGAGAAGTACATTCTTAAACATTGTAATGATTTCTAAATGCTGTTTCACCATGGTGGAACAAGAAACGAGGTATTAAAATAAACAAGATATATGTGCAGTAAACATGGGCTTTGCAGAATCTGTAAGTGTCACTACAAGAGGTGATTAAGAATAAAGATTCAGCGGTGAAGAAGTTTGATTTTTTTTAACTGTTGATTATTAAAATCAGAAATAAATTCAAGTTACATTAGATGTAGTCTGATTTTGTCCCCTTGCAATGAAGTTGGAGGGGATTTAGGAATGTGCTTGTGTGTGTGATTAAGTGTGTGCGTAACGGAAGTTTCACAAGCAATAATTTATGTCATAGTCAAAAGGGATCAAAATGCTCTTTTGCAAAGGGATGCTTCGCTTTGCGGAGCCCTTGTTTAAGCATTGGTATTAGGCCAGTCTTTTTTAGACCTACTAGCCCAATAGGACAGTGAAAGTTATCGACTGACCAGTAAAATTTTAAGTTAATAGCCGGAGTGACAAGTGAAAAAAAATTATTTTAAGCCCTGGGATGGACGACAGACACCTTACTATCGCATAAGTTCTTTGGTCTCTGATCAATAGAGCTAAAAAATTGAGACAGTGAATTGAATGATTGATTTAATGTTGTTTTACCTCCCGTTCAAGAATTTTTCACTCATATAGAGATGTCACCATATACCAGTCAAGGGCTTCAAATTTAGACCTTTACTCGGCCTCAGGGCCATTGAGCAGTCAGGTTTCTTTATCGTGCCAACGCATACAGTGAAACAAGGCCACGGTTTTTAAGGTCTCATCCAAAAGACCCACAACTTTCAGTTCAAAGTGCCGAGTGCTTGGCGAAGGAACAATTTCTACCTATTTTTTTATTGACTAAGGTCAGTCTCGGCTGTGATTCGAACACACAACCTCCCAATCACGGAGCGAGCATCTACTGACTGAGCTACCGTGACGGTCTGAATTGAAGGATCAATAATATATTATCTCAACATAAAAAATTAAAAATATGAGGTATATATGAAAACAATAGTGTCATACAAATTAAATTCATTTAAAACAGGAGGCCCATGGGCCACAATGCTCACCTGAGTCACTTTCACCCTGTTGTTTTGAATCAGGTTTTTTTTAAAATCAATATAAATGTATTCCTGTGTAAAATTTTGATTGCCTTTTGTGACCCACCATTTACACAGAGGCAGTAATTTGAACAACAAGAGGCCCACGGGCCTTATAGGTCACCTGAGTATTATGTAACAACTTGCCAACAATTGAATTTGGTTCGTTTTTTTAAAACCAGAGGTCATGAAATTCACAATTTTGAAAGAGGCACCATTGCTCAACATAACTATACGCTTATAATGCTTAGTTTGATTACTTAATTCCCAGAGTCAGAGCAGAGGAACAAAGAAAAATGCACTTTCAATAGTGCCCTACCCCACAGGAACCCCTGACCCTGGGGCCACATATTTCACAATTTTGGAAAAGGCACCCTTGCACATCATAACTGTGTACTTAGATCACCGACATAATATCCAGGAGCAGAGGAGAAGATTTTCAAAGAATTAATGTATTTTCACCATATAATCAATAGATTCTCATCCTAAAACCAGAACCCCTGACCCAGGAGCCATGAAATTTACAATTTTAAAAGAGGCCCCCCTCCTCACCATAACTATGTACTTTGTTCATCGGCTTAATACCCAGGAGCAGAGGAGAAGATTTTCAAAGAATTAATGCAGTTTTACTATATATAAAAAAAATAGAGCCCTGCCCTAACACCAGAACCCCTGACCCAGGGGCCATGAAATTCACAATTTTGGAAGAAACACGCTTGCTCAACATAACTATGTATATGAATTATCAGCTTAATACCAAGGAGCAGAGGAGAAGATTTTCAAAGAATTAATGCATTTTCACTATATAATCAATGGAGCCCTACCCTAACATCAGAAACCCTGGCCCAGGGGCCATGAAATTCTCAATTTTGGAAGAGGCTCTCTTCCTCATCATAGCTTTGCACCTAGTTCATTGGCTTAATAACCAAAGAACAGAGGAGGAGATTTTTCGAAGAATTAATGCATTTTCATTACATAATCATTAGAGCCCCCACCTTAGACTATAACCCCTTACCCAGGGGCCTTAAGGAGGTTGGATCCTGTCATCAAAAGTAATGAGAATTTTTTATCAAGTATATTTTTAGAATTTATACACATAGCTTAATTAAAAATCAAAACAAAAAATGAGGGTCAATAAGCTTCTTTTGGAGCTACAGAGCATTTAGTTTAACCTTTTTGCACTGTAAATACGTCTTACACATGAATCAATTTTTAAAGTTTTTCCTCCAATATATTATATTCAAATAAATAATGGGAACAAACATAGTCTTATTTCATTTTGAATAGACACATTAAAATTTTGACAAAGAAAAAAAATTTCAAATTACTCCGCATGTTCAATTATTTGACCTTTTTGCACTCAAATAATATCATTTTTCTGGCATTAAAAATTTAACAAGCAAAAAAATCATTGAAAGTAATGACATTTTACTGAATTTAAGAAGAATGGTTAAGAGTATCTTATATACTCAGAAAATAAAATTAAAAGTGGGGGTCTGTGGTGTTAATTTTTAGATATTACTAAAATAGTGCTAATTTTAAGCTTAAATTAGGGCTATGTTTTTCTTGTTTTTCACAATATATTTGCTATATTTATCAAATATGATGATAGAATTCATGACAGTTTATTTAATATATAATTTAGGACCAGTATAAAACAGTTCACTGCAAAAAATATCTCTGTGTGTAGACTGCATATAAAAATAGGAATCCAAACTTAACATACTTGAAATACTTCAAAAGAGAAAAAAATGATCATTTTCTTCTAGAAAACCTTCCGCCACAAAATATAGTTCCTCACTTAATGCTTTTGGTATGGAATTCAATCATGGAGTTTTAACTCAATATAGTTTAATTGGCATTGTAGAATCCAAAATTTATTGTAAGAATTAAAACGTTATGCGGAATTTTTGAAATATAGGTTAAGATAAAAATCTGTGCAAAAGCTCAGGAGCGAACCTCGTTAAAGTTCACAATTTTGGAAGAAACACGCTTGCTCAATATAACTTTGTACTAAGTTCTTCAGCTTAATTCCCAGGAGGAGAGGAGAAGATTTTCAAAGAATTAATGCATTTCATTATATAATCAATAGAGCCCTGCCTTAACATCAGAATCCCTAACCCAGGGGCCATGAAATTCACAAATTTGGAAGAGGCAGCCTTGCTCATCATAACTATGCATTTAATTTGTTTGCTTACTACCCAGAAACAGAGGAGAAGATTTTTTTTTAAGAATTAATGCATTTTCACTCTATATTCAACAGAGACCCACCCTAGCACCAGAACCCCTGACCTTCAGGCTATGAATTTCACAATTTTGGTAGAGGGCTCAATGTTTATTACAATCATGCCAACACTTTGGCTACTTGATGTCCAGGAGTAAATAAGGATTT